TTTATTTATGGTGTTTAAAAAATATTAAAACAACAAAATATAGACTAGGTAGATCAAAACCCTAAAAACGGGGACAAAGGGATCTTTATTCTCTATCCATTACTGTAGTCCTATCCTGAAGCGGCAATTTCTACTGGAATAAAAAAGTGATTTCATCCGGATCCCGAAGGAGATTGTGGTGTTAAAGCCCCCCCCCCCTTTTTTTGTACAAAGTCTGTCATCTGAAGAGAGATGCAGTAGCTCAGTGGCTAAGACGCTGAGCTTGTCGATCAGAAAGGTCAGCAGTTCGGCGGTTCGCGTAACGGAGGGAGCTCCCGTGACTTGTCCCAGCTTCCGCCAACCTATCAGTTCGAAAGCATGTTAAAAATGCAAGTAGAAAAATAGGGACCTGATAACGTTCCTGAGAAGGGAACAGCGTTCCGTGCGCCTTCGGCGTTGAGTCATGTGGCCACATGACCACGGAGACGTCTTCAGACAGCGCTGGCTCTTCGGCTTCGAAACGGAGATGAGCATGTAGAGTTGGGAACAACTAACACCTACGTGCGAGGAGAACCTTTACCTTATCTGTCATCTAGAGTCCTCCATGCTGATTTATCAATTAAAAACACATATACAACCTTCATAAAAATTCTAACAACTAACGTGAGTTCATCTAGTTTGAGCTTAAAGTCGGAAATGCGGGGGTCTCTGGATCGCCAGATGTTGAGGAGCTAACACTAACGTCCCTCATCATGGATCATGAGGGCTACAACTAATAGGTAATGAACTTGAAGAACATCTGGATATAGCAATATCAATAGCAGTTAGACTTATATACTGCTTCATAGGGCTNTCCTTCATCTATCTTTCTTTCTCATTTCCCTCCCCTCTCTCTTTCTTTTTTCTTTCTCTCTCCTTCTCTCACTTTATTCTTTCCCCCTCTCCCTTCTTCCCCTTCCTTTCATACTTTACTTGCTTCCTTCCTTATCTTTCTTTCTTTTTCTTCTTTCCCTCCCTCCCTCCCTCCCTTCCTTCTTTCCTTTCCGCAAAAGTGCACTAAAACAGCTAAGTGAAGGACACTCCTGCCTCCTTGATGGGGCCCCGTTGACCTTAATCAGAACAAGGAGTTTTCGATCCAGTTGTGTATCTTCTCTCGTGATGCCTCTAGTGTGAGAGAGAGACAGCGAGCAACATTGTGGCCTGGTTCCAGAATTGTTTTGCATTTGAAATCAATACCTTTACATTTCTTTTCCCTTTGAGTGCCTGGATGTGTACGTAGCTGTGACACCAAGGGAGGGAAAAAATACAGGTGGGATGAGTGTGTTTTAAGCATCATGTTCTCAAAAACGGGGGGTGGGGGGTGGGGGTGGATAGATGTTCTGTTTTAAAAGCAGAACGGTTCCTTTTCTACCGGTGGCCGGTTTTTCAGAGTGAAATATTTTTGTATTTGTCGCTGTCGAGAAAGAAAAAATTGTGGCACGAGTGGTTCTTGATACGTGGACACCTGTTTATGAAATGTTCACATTTTATTCAATATTCAAGCAAAAGCGGGACACATTTTCCCTTCCCGAACACTGAGGACACCGTTTGGGTTGATTTTTTTTTCTCCACTGGGGAACGAGAAGTGAAGAATGTACGTGTGTACGCCTAAAGAAAAATTCACCCACGCCACGAATCGAAACCCAACGAAATGTAGAAATGGCCCAGAGGGGACAATAAAATCAAATCAAGATGTTAACCGTGTACATTTCATTTTTAACGTTTCCTTTCTTTTAAATGTACTCTTAATTTAGAATAGAAGAACAGAGTTGGAAGGGACCTTGGAGGTCTTCTAGTCCAACTCCCTGCTTAGGCAGGAAACCCTACACCACTTCAGACAAATGGATATCCAACATCNCAGCCCTCTCTAAGCGGTTTACAGAGTCAGCCTATTTGCCCCCAACAATCTGGGTCCTCATTTTACCCACCTCGGAAGGATGGAAGGCTGAGTCCAACCTTGAGCCTGGTGATATTTGAACTGCTGAACTGCAGCTAGCAGTCAGCAGAAGTAGCCTGCAGTACCCCTCTCTAACCACTGCGCCACCTTGGCCTCGATAGAATTAAATGAATGGCAAAAGTTACAGGAGAGGTATTACACATGAGCAATGTCAACTGCATATAAACCATTCCCTCCCCGTTCCTGACTTTGCAGGGAGGATGGGAACACATCACCGTCCGAGGAAACTCGACCGAAAGGACCAAGGTGGCGGCTCAGGATGGTCCCAGCAGCTCTCCTCGCAACCTCACTAGCTTAGAGGTTCATGGAAGCCACCAGCCCCAAAGCACCATTTTTGTCGACGGCGTCCAAGACTTGGACCTTAACGCTGTCCAGTGTTGACTTGTCTTCTGACGTTTCCACCTTCTGCTCATGGCGGGTGTCCTGGATCACGGAAGCTACCCGGAAGACCAGGCTGGTTTTGGAACGCTCCCCCATTGAGTGCCCAAGGAGACCAAGCCAACTCCAAGCATGAAATCCACACCGACCCTTCCATCTTGTGTCCCTTTGGCGAGACCGCAGGCGTCGACCCCCACCCTCGTCGAAGTGATGCTCCAACCTGGGAGGGTGGTGGTGGTGGTGGTGGTCTCCCAGTTGTGTGTGTTTGTGATCTCCCAGAATTCCCCACTTCTCCGTGAGCATTCTGGGAGTTAAGATTCAACCCCATCCTTCCAGTGGAGAAGATACACAACGGAGAAGATCATGATTTGGAGACAGTTGAACAGAGAGACTGCATGTCCCACCACCTCAGTGGGAGAACTGGATGTTTGTGTGTGTGTGTATGTGTGTGTGTATGTGTGAATTCTGCTCATGTTGTTGTTTTAACCCCTTAATTTATTGTCGCATTTCTTAGGCCTGGTGGAATCTGAAGTTCTCCGGTAGCCCTGGATTCGTTCCCATCAACTAAGCCTTGGTTTATGCTGGCCAGTATATGCCCCAACAATGTAGGCGAATTAGGATCGATTAACCCTTTCTATTCTAAGCCCCCCCACCCCTCGGAGTATCGTTGACCCGATCCCTGGCTTTCTTAGATGTTCCACAGGCAGGACCTGGTCTATGGTGAGCCAGCCTCCCAGATGGGGTTGACATGAATAAACTGAGCCAGTTAGTTAATTCTATAGGTAGCACTTTGGATGGATGGATGGATGGATGGATGGATGGATGGATGGATGGATGGATATAGATAGATAGATA